GAAAATGAACAAACTACAGCTACATGTAACATACATACATTGAATGAAAGAAAAAAGAGCAAAGGGATCTCCAGCCAAGATGGAGGCATAGGTAGACACATTGTGCTTCCTTGCACAACCAAAAGAACAACAACAAATTTAAAAACAAAAAGCCAATCAGAACTGACAGAGTTTCTAACTGTATGGAAGTCTGACAACCAAGGGGTTAAAGAAGAAACATCCTGACTGGTAGGAAGGGTGGAGACAGACAGTGGGCAAAAAGCACTTGAGACTAGGCAGCAACTGGCAGACTGGCAAGGCAGCAGATTGCAGACTGGGCAGTTCCACATTTGCATACAGATAAACCAGGAGGAACAACTGGGGAGCGAGACAGAACACGCAACTCAGGGTTCCAGCACAAGGAAATAAGTTCTCAAGCCTCTGATTGAAAACACCTGTGGGTTTTGAGGGAGCAGTGGGAGAAACTCCCAGCCTCACAGGAGAGTTCATTGGAGAGACCCACAGGGTCCTAGAACATACAGAAACCCACCCACATGGGAAATCATCACCAAAAGGGCCCAATTTTATTGAAGGTAGTGGGAGAAGTGACTGAAAAGCAGCAGAAAGTGAGGCAAGTGGCCCTGTTCCCTCTTGGACTCTTCCACACTGAGAGCATCACAACACAGCAATTTGGGTTGTCCTGCCCTGGTGAACATCTAAGGCTCTGCCCCTTACTACAAAACAAGTGTGCCGAGACAAAAAAAAAGAAAGAATGGCGCAAATGAAAAAAAAAATGGCCCAAATAAGAGAAAAGATCAAAGCTCCAGAAAAAATACAACTAAATGATAAAGACATAGCCAACCTATCAGATGCACAGTTCAAAACACTGCTAATCAGAATGCTCACAGACTTGGTTGAATATGGTCACAAATTAGAAGAAAAAATGAAGATTCTTCCTAGTGAAATAAAAATGTACAAAGAACCAATAGTGATAGGAAAGAAACTGGTACTCAAATCAACCTTGTGGACTAGAAGGAAGCAAGAAACATTCAACCAGAACAAAATGAAAAAACAAGAATTCAAAAAAAAATGAGGAGAGGTTTAGGAACTTCCAGGACAACTTTAAACATTCCAACATTGGAATCATAGGGGTGCTGGAAGAAGAGGAAAAGCAAGAAATTGAAAATTGATTTGAACAAATAATGAAGAAGAACTTCCCTAATCTGGCAAAGGAAATAGACTTCCAGAAAGTCCAAGAAACTCAGAGAGTCCCAAAGAAGTTGACCCAAGGAAGCACACACCAAGGAACATCATGATTACATTCTCCAAGATTAAAGACAAGGAGAAAATCTTAAAGGCAGCAAGAGAAAAGGAGACAGTTACCTACAAAGAAGTTCCCATAAGACTGTCAGCTGGTTTCTCCAAAGAAACCTTGAAAGCAAGAAAGGGCTGGAATGAAGTATTCAAAGTCATGAAAGGCAAGGACCTACATCCAAGGTTACTCTATCTAGCAAAGCTATCATTTAGAATGGAATGGCAGATAAAGTGCTTTCCAGAGAAGGTCAAGTTAAAGGAGTTCATCATCACCAAGCCTTTATTAAATGAAATGTTAAAGGGACTTATCTAAGAAAAAGAAGATAAGAACTGTGAACAGTAAAATGACGACAAACTCACAACTATCAACAACTGAATTGAAAGAAAGCAAAGCAAAAACAAACTGAGCAAACAATAGAATAGGAACAGAATCACAGAAATGGAGGTCACATGGATGGTTATCAGTGGGGGAGTGGAAGGGGGAGAGGGGGAAAAGGTACAGAGAGTAAGTAGTATAAATGGTAGGTAGAAAATAGACTGGGGAGGTTAAGAATAGTATAGAAAATGCAGAAGCCAAAGAACTTATATGTATAACTCATGGCCATGAACTAAAGGGGGGGGGAATGCAGGTGGGAGGGGGCATGCAGGGTGGAGGGGAATAAAGGGGGGGAAATGGGACAATTGTAATAGTATAATAAATTAAATATTTTAAAAAGAGCAAAGAATACATTAATATGTCACTTAGTGTCATTAAATGTCTCAGGTCAAATAGGAAAACAAGATATTCTCCTGCCTTTGTAAATTGCTTCTGAGCTGGGGTTGCTTGTTCAATGCTTAGCCAGGCTACTACTTAACTCTGCCTTAGCCTTCACCTCCAGCACATGTGAAGCCCAAAAGATCCTTCAAAGGTGGAGGCCTAGGAACCCCACAGGTCTTTTCTGAGACTGCATCTAATTCTGGGCATGTACAGGCCTTCTAGATTCCCTGGTTTACTCTGGTCCTTCAGAGCCCTCATCCCCATCATCTTCCTTTGTAGGATTTCTAGTCTGTCTGCTGCTTGCCTTCTCTGCTGTCCCTGACTTCAGGTAACAAGCTGTAGGTAATGTTTTAAGGCCGAGAATTCAGAGGGTGCAAAACAAAGGCAAGCCTCTGAATTAAATCCCCAAACAGGTCAAAACAAACAACCACAATTCTGAGCACAAGATCTGCACTGCCCACTCTGGCACTGCCAAGATTCACCAAGTAACGAGCTGCTGTCCTCATAAGCAGAGTAAGTCAAAACACCAAAATCTTATCAAATTCAGTGGTGTCTTTCTTCATAATACTCCATGATTGTTTTAGATTTTGATTAGATTTCAGTTACAAAAGTCAATTCTACCAGTTTTTTACAGTTGAATGATTGCTTCAATAGAAGGATTTTTGGAGCTCTCTATTTCATTTTCAGTGATGTCAATATGTAACTTCTAAATGACTACATTTTAGAAATAGAGGACAGATTAGTGGTTGCTAGGGGTTAGAGGAATGACGGAAGAGGGACATGAAAGGCAACAGGACTGATCTGGCATTGAAGCTGATCAGTACCTTGCCTGTGGTGGTAAATACACCAACCTACACAAATGATAATTACTTAAAATTAAATACAGTACAAGTAAAACTGGGTAAATCTGAGTAAGATTGGTGGATTGTATCAATATTCTTTAGGTTTACACATTAATATTGGGAGAAACTGGAACAAGTGTACCAGGTACCTCTGTATTATTTCTTACAACTCCATGTGAAACTATAATTATCTAAAAAAATTTCAATTAAAGTAATTCAGAAGATTCAGATTTAAGATGTTTTAAAAACATTATTCATTTTATTTTGCTTTGCCTTTGTGTCCAGAAGATATGTGATAAAAATCTGCATTTTAACTAAATCTAAAATAGCTTTTAATAAGTAAAATTCTAAATAAGAAAGCATCATACCATAGTACAATTGGTAGTAATCTTTTTTTAGTGGCACATAAAAATAATTGAGCATCTTATACTTAGTGACAATTTAGATTTGATTATTTAAAAGAAGTTTTTATTGATTATGCTACTACATTTCCTCCCCTTTATTCCCCTCCACCCTGCATAACCCCCATCCCATCATCACTTCCCCCCTTCAGTTCATGGCCATGGATCATACATATAAGTTCTTTGGCTTCTGCATTTTCTATACTATTCTTAACCTCCCCCTATTTTCTACTTACCATTTATGCCATTTATTCTCTGTACCTTTCCCCCCTCTCCCCCGCCACTTCCCCACTGATAACCCTCCATGTGATCTCCATTTCTGTGATTCTGCTCCTATTCTATTGTTTTCTCAGTTTGTTTTCGTTTTGCTTCCTTTCAGTTCAGTTGTTGATAGTTGTGAGTTTGTTGTCATTTTACTGTTCACAGTTCTTATCTTCTTTTTCTTAGATAAGTCCCTTTAACATTTCATATAATAAGGGCTTGGTGATGATTAACTGCTTTAACTTGACCTTCTCTGGAAAGCACTTAATGTGCCCTCCCATTCTAAATGAACTTTACTGGATAATCGTGGATGTAGGTCCTTGCCTTTCATGACTTTGAATACTTCATTCCAGCCCTTTCTTGCCTACAAGGTTTCTTCGGAGAAACCAGCTGACAGCCTTATGGGAACTCCTTTGTAGGTAACTGTCTCCTTTTCTCTTGCTGCTTTTAAGATTTTCTCTTTGATCTTGGGGAATGTAATCGTGATGTTCCTTGGTGTATGCTTCCTTGGGTCCAACTTCTTTGGGACTCTGAGTTTCCTGGACTTTCTGGAAGTCTATTTCCTTTGTCAGAGTGGGAAAGTTCTCTTTCATTAATTTTTCAAGTAAGTTTCCAACTTCTTGCTGTTGCTCACCTCCTTCAGACACCTCTGATTTGGATGTTGGAATGTTTAAAGATGTCCTGGAAGTTCCTAAGCCTCTCATTTTTTTGAATTGTTTCTTCCTTCTGCTCCAAACTGTTCATTTGAGACCTGGTTTCATTCCCTTCACTGTTGGTTCCCTGTACATCTTTATTTCACTTTTCATGGCCTTTAGTTTTTCCTCTATTTTCAACCATACCCAACCATTTCTGTGAGCCTCCTGATTACCATTGTTTTGAACTGTGCATCTGATAGGTTGGCTATATTTAATTGCTTAATTGTATTTTTTCTGGAGCTTTGATCTTTTAATTTGGGCTGTGTGTTTTTGTCTTGGTGCACCTGTTTCATAGTAAGGGGCAGAGCCTTAGATGTTCACCAAGGCAGGGCAACCCAAGTGGCTTGTTGTGATGCTATCAGTGGGGGAGGGGTCCAAGAGGGAAGAATGCCATTTACTTGCCTCTCAGCCAGCTTTCAGTCACTTCCTTTGCTACCCACAAGCAAATTGGATCCTTCTGGTGCTGATTCTGGGGTGAGTGGGTTCATGTATGTTCCAGGACCCTGTGCGTCCCTCCAACAAAGTCTCCTGGGATGCTGGGAGTTTCTCCCGCCACCACAACCCCCACGAGTTTTTTCCAATCAGAGGTTTTGAGGCTTTATTTTCCCATTCAGGAACCCTGGGTTGCACTGTCTTGCTCCCCAGTTGTTCCTCCTGGTTTATTTGCATGCAAATGTAGGACTGCCCAGTGTGCCAGCTATCACCTTGCGGAGAGTCCTCCCAGCTGCCTGTCTCCACCCCTCCTACTCATCTGGGTGAATGTTCCTTCTTTAACTCCTTGGTTGTCGGTCTTCCATAGAGTTAGATTTTCTGTCAGTTCTGGTTGTTTTTGTTTTTAAATTTGTTGTTGTCCTTCTTTTGGTTGTGTAAGGATGCACAGTATATCTACCTATGCCTCTATCTTGGCTGGAAGTTAGATTTATATCATTATTGCCTGTTTGAGATGAGAAAGTTGACTTACAGGTCCATTTTGGCTCATGAGGCTTGCTTTGACACTGACCATCAAAATGTCTTCCATAAACAGTGGCAGTAATTAATGTAAAAAATACTGAATCAGGAAGCATATAGTAATTACCTACATTTCTGTTTACTACATGTATAGGACAACAAATTCAGGAACAAGGGGGAGGTAATGTACAATGGAATAAGAAATCAAACAGATTACAAAATACTATCAACTGTAGTTATGCGACTACATCAGTATTTTCACTTGTTAAATAAAGCACATGCAACTCAAAATGCTAAATGACTATATTAGTTTTTGTCCAATTCTGTAAAGAATTATATGTTGGTGAAAAATCAAAATTATCTTGTAAGGTATGTATGACCTTATTTAGTATTTATCAGAGGTGTGAAAATGATCATGGTTAATATCAATGTAAGCCATTTACAGAGCATCGTTTAGGCATGCTGTTGATATATTAAAAATATCAGAAAATAATATTATGGCACCAGGTTATAAATAAGCTTATTTAAAACCATCTTTGTCAAAGTTTTAACATTGGAACAAAAAAAGCAAATGTGTCTAAACTATACATGAAGCAAATCTTGTTAATAGTACTTTTGTCCTATGGGTATTACTATTAAAGTTTTTTTCCTTTACATAAAACTACTAAAAGGAAAATTTAAGTATCTTACAACTCAAAGATTACTTTGTATCATTCTATAAACATAGTAATTACTTTATCAAAGCCCTGAATATAAGGCCTATTAGTATTCACTGATTTAGAAACTTCACTTTTATGTGGATGTTTTGGAGTTGAAGTCAGAATATAAACACAAAATAGGTTAAATATTTCTTCTCTTACCAGGTTTTCATTTCTTTTTTTTTATTGGTACAGGATTTGGGGATAAAGGTAGTGAAAACATCAGGGTTGACATATTTACATTTTACCAAGTAAAAGGCTCTTAAAGAATACAATGAGGGCATATTACTCATAACACAAATCCTCATATTAATTAAATGACTAAGAAAAATACTGTAATGCTTTAAACAAAAATTTTAAGATGTATCTATGACCACCCAGTTTCAAACAAAACACGATGATCAAAATATTTAACTGTCCTTTTATCAAGCTTTTACATATTCAGTTGTCACTGTCTGAGCAAATCAGTTTTAGCTTCTTCATAGTCCTCCATCTGTCTTTTAACATGACACTTGTTCGATTGTTGAATTTATAATGTAATAGTATTTTAGACCAGTTTCCTTCTCCATATTTCCTCACGCCAGATCTCAGATTCTTGTCTTCTTCCCAAAGCCATACCTTTTGATAAAAAATAAACAAATGGTTATTCACAGAAACGATTCTTTATAGTTTTAAAATGAGGAACAATGGACAAATAACATTAGTTTCAGGTGCACAACGTGATGCAATATTTGTATAAATAGTGAAATGACCACCAAATTAAGTCTAGTCAAAGTCCATAATAAGTAGATAAGAAGTTATTCACAGAAACAATTCTTTAAAGAACATACCTACAATAAACAGAACTTGTTTTTAATCAAAATAAAATTAGTTTGTTAAAGATGGAAGAATTCCTGTATACATTTCTTAGACTTATATAAGACCTCATATTTACCAGAAAAAGATTTTTAAGACCCTTTACTATTAGTCTTCATTTTACTTAAGTGTACTATGGCTCATATGTTCAAAATCAGAGATGCAAAGTAACAGTTAAACACCAACCCAATTCATCTGGCTTTAAGCTCCCACATGTTTTTCTATAATTGTTAGTAGCTTGGCATTTACTAATCCTATATATCTCTGAAGAGAATGTATGAATATTTAATATTTTACTGATGAACTAAGTGAAAACCCTGTTCGATGTTAGTCAAAGTATCCTTGAAAACTCAAAATTTCTGTAACATAGGTTTTGAAAACACAACAAAGGCTAACTAAAAATAAACTATTTTATTTTTGACACTTAAAAAAAGGAAATAAGGATCAAACCCTTGTCTGAGGTATCACATGTAAATATTTTCCCATAGAGTTAGTTCTCTTTTCATTTTGCTGATGTTTTCTTTAGCTATACAGAGGCCTTTTATTTTGATGAGATCCCATTTGTTTATTCTTTCCTTTATGTCCCTTGCTCTAGGGGACATATAGGTGAAAATACTGCTGCTTGAAATATCTGAAATTTTCCTACCTATGTTCTCCTCTAGGACTTTTATGGTGTCACAACTTACATTTAAAGTCTTTTTATCCACTTTGAGTTTATTTTTTGTGTATGGTGTAAGTTGGTGGTTTTTTTTTAATTTGCCAAATTCACTTACCATTCACTTTACAAAGAGTAATTTTATATACACAATATAATTTAATTTTCATCGTAATTGTATAAGGGAAGTGATACATCCCCACTTTATAAATAAACCATCACAAATTGAGGTTAAATTCTGGAACAAGAGTTACAACACATTTGCTATCCTCCGTCAGACCCTCCTGCCATAGTGCCCTGCCTTCCTCTTCCCTGGAATCGAAAGCCTTGAACCTAAATCATCTCGAATGTGACCCTACTCTTTCACTTTATTTTTTAAGTATGTTTTATTACACTTTTACAGTTTATTATACATTTTATTACACTATTAGTTTTCCCAACTTTCTCCCCTTTACCCCCCTCTGCCCTGTACTCCCCAACCCTTCAGCACCCCCGCCTTAGTTCATGTCCATGTGTTCTCCGTTCCGTATACCATTTTTGACCTCTCCCATCCATTTTATGCCTACCAATTATACTTTTTCTTCCCTGCACCTTTCCCCCCCCATTCCTCCCTTCCCATTCCCCACTGAAAATGCTCCATGTGATGTCCATTTCTCTGATTCTCTTCCTGTTCTAGTTGTTTGGTTAGTTTTTGTCTTCACTGTTTTTCTGTATTTTAGGTTCATTTGTTGATAGCTCTGTTTGTTATTTTACTGTTCATAGTTTTTGATCTTCTTCAATTTCTTAGATAAGTCCCTTTAACATTTCATATAATAATGGCTGCCATATAATCATAAACAGGAGCTGGGTTTTATTAAATGCTTATTTTTAATACTGTTTTCTTTAAAAAATTTTATTTATTCACTTTTAGAGAGAGGAAAGGACAGTAACATCACTGTGTGAGATACATCGACTGGTTGCCTCTCACACGACCCCAACCACCCAGGCATGTGTCCTGACTGAGAATCAAATTGGAGACCTTTTGGGTTGCAGGTGGGTGCTCAATCCACTGAGCCACACCAGTCAAGGCTGTTTTCTTGTTTTAATCTGAGCTATATTACTTTCAATAGAGATCGAAGTTGATATTTGATATAATACCAACACCTATATTTCTCAACAAATAACTAATATTCCCTGCTTGATTCCTGTTCAGGTTTCTGAGTGGAGCAAGTTTAAGTGGAGTTTCCAGTGGATCACATATGGCAGGGGTGGCAAACTATGGCCAAAATCCAGTCCTGCACTGTTTGTATAACTCAGGAGCTAACAACAGTTTTCACATGTTAAAACCTGCTTTTAAAAAAGAAAAAGAATAATATGTGACAGAAACTGAACAAGGCCTGAAATATTCACTGCCTAGCCCTTCATAGGAAAAATCTGCCAACCTCTGACCTAGAAGAAAGTTATAATTTTGTCCGTAAAGGTTAACATTAAGTACTTGTTGTTTTCTTCTAGTAAAAAAGAGAAATTCCAATTTAATATAGTTTCTTTGTGACTATGCCTTATTTTTTTATCTGAATGTTTTTATGCTCTCTGCTTAATTTCATCTATGATTTAAAGGTGAAGGCTAAAACCCATCATATGAAACAAGTGATCATACAGCAACTAATAATTATGCTTTTCAAAAGTTCAGAGCTTAAAGAAGCCAACTCCTTTCCATAGATGGAGTTGAATGAGTCACACAACTTGTTCATCAGTATCAGGTCAAACAGAAAACAAAGGGACAGTAATATTTCACAAATCTTTTTTTTCTTAAAACTTCATTTTTTCACTTTACATATTTAACTTACTGCACTATTTGTATTCATAATGACACACAGCTAACAAAGAGTTTAAGATGAAATATTTCAGGACCTAAACAAAAACTGAATCCTCTGTGCTGTTATTCTTTTTTTTAAATTAAAAATAAAATCAATTAAAAAATCCTAACAACCCTGGTCATGCCGATAGCCATCCAAAATACAAAGAGCATACAACAAATTAAAATGCATCATTTTTCTTTACTAAAGCTAAAAAGTTATATAAATATTTTTGTTTTTAAAAATTATTTGGGTGCCATTAGTTAATAAAATTATATAGGTTTCATGTTTACAATTCTTTAATACATCATCTATATACTGCATTATATGTTCACCATTCAAAGTCAAGTGTCCTTCTATCACCATATACTTGACCCCGTTTTACCCTTTACTCGCTCTACTCCTCTGGTCACCACCATTCTGGAATTTACTGTAGTCTGAGTTTTCATTTGTTTTGATTATTCATTTGCTGCTTTCAGTTTCACACCCCACATGAGTGAAATAGTACTTTTCTATTTCACTTTGTATAGTGAAATAGACTATACAATCAATAGAAATTGATTCTCAAGATCCATCAATGCTGTCACAAATGGCTGTATTTTCATCTTTTTTACAGCTGAGTAACAATCCATTGTATATATTTATTACATCTCCTATAGCCAATCATCTGTTGAAGGAGAAGTCAGTTGTTTTTATGTCTGGGGCACCATGATAATGGCGCAGAAAACAAAGGGGTACATCTTTACAGATGTTTTCAAATTTTTAGGGTTGATATCCAGAAGATGGGTTGCTGGGTCATATAATAACCACTCTTATTAATTTTCTGAGGAACCTCCATAATGTTTTCCACAGTGGCTGTACTAATATATAGTTCTACCAGCAGTGAATGAGGGTCCCTTTTTAGACTCCCTTTTAACCTAACAATTGTTATTTCTTGTCTTGTTGATTACAGCCATTCTAACAGATGTGAAATGGTATCTTGTTGTGGTTTTGATTTGCATTTCCCTAATAGCTAGTAAATTTGAGCATCTTTTCATATATCTGTTGGCCATTTGTATGTCTTCTTGGGAGAAGTGTCTATTCAAGTCCTCTGCTTATTTTTTAGTTGGGTTAATTTGCTGTTGTTGGGTTATATGAGATCTTTATGTATTTTGGATATTAACCCCTTATCAAAGGTACTGTTTACAAATATCTCCATTTGGTTGGCTGCCTTTTTGTTTTGTTGATGGTTTTTTGTGCTATGCAGAAGCTTTTTAGTTTTATATAGACCCATTCATTCATTTATTCATCTATTCATATAGACCCATTGCTTTTATTTCCCTTGCCTTTGGGATCAAATTCGTAAACATTAAGACCAAGATCCATAAATTTAGTACCTATGTTTTCTTTTACATATTTCATTGTTTCAGGTTCTAATTTTAGGTCTTTAACACATTTTGAGTCAATTTTTGTGTATGGTGAAAAACAGAAGTCATTTTATTTTTTGCATGTGGTTTTCCAATTTCCCAGCATAATTTATTGAACAGTCTTTCTTTTCTCCATTGTATATTTTGTCAACTTTGTTGAAAATTATTTGTCCACATGTATGTTGTTTATTTCTGGGCTTTCAATTCTATTCCCATGGTCTGTATGTTTTTATGTCAGTACCATGCTATTTGATTATTATTGCTATGTAGTACAGTTTGAAGTCAGAGATTGTAATACCTCTTTTCTTTAAACCTGAGGATAGCTTTGGCTATTCATGGTCTTTTGAGGTTCCAGGTAAATCTGATAGGTTTTTTATTCTATTCTTTTAAAAATGTCAGTGAAATTTTGATGGAGATTACATTAAATCTGTATATTGCTTTGGGTAATATGGCCCAAACCATGTTGATTCTTCAAATTCATGAACATGGAATAACTTTCTATTTTTTGGTGTATCTTCTTCAATTTCTTTTAGAAATGTCCTGTAGTTTTCAGGGTATAGATCCTTCACATTTGTTAAGCTTATTTCCAGGCATTTTATTCCTTTTATTTGCAATCACAAAAGGAATTGTTTTTCATTTCTTTTTCAAAATTCCATTGTGAGTATACAGGCATATAATGCATTTTTGTACATTGATTTTGTATCTTATAACTTTATTGTAATTGTTTCTAATAGTTGTTTGGTGGTCCTTAGGGCGGTTCTATATAAAGAATCATGTCATCTGCAAAATGTGACATTTTCTTGTCCTGTTCCTCATCTTGGAGGAAAAGCTTTCAGTTTTTTACCAGTTAGTATATTGGCTGAGGAT